TGTCAGGGTATATTTGATATAATAATAATAGAGAGAGATATTATAATAAGATCTTAAAAATCTAGCATCTAAACAAATCTTTGCTAGATTGCAAGCAATATTATCTATATTTGAGTTTGATAGAATTTGTCAAAATAAAGAACTGGATATTACACAAATTGATAAACCCTCAAGTCCATGGACAGCCCATAGACCCGCCCTCAAGTTCAAAGAAAAAGATGTTTAACCCTCTCTCCACCTTTTACATTGTCCAAATTATGATATTTATCGTTTTATTTTTCTAATGATCCTATCATCCAAACTCTAGAAAAACTCCACCATCTCTCCCTCACCCATGACCCTCTCGCTCTCTCTCAACCTTCTGATATAGGACAAAGTTATTTTAATTCTTAATTTTTGTCTAATTTCAAAATACATTTTTTACTTTTAGTTTTCGGGCCTATTTCTTGGGTTTTTAAGTTTTTTTGACATTCTAGAAATTTTTTATATTTTTTATTTACTATTCACTGGTTAGTGTTCATAGGTACTGTTCAAGGGTATCATTCACGTGTTACTGTTTGCAAGGATATTTCTAGAATTTAAGTATTATTTAGCAGCATTTTAGAGTCTTAAATGTTTGCTTGGATCTCAAGTTAATTTTAGGCTTTTGTAGGCATGTAAAAGGTTAGATACCAAATTTTGGGATGCTTATGTTATTGGAATGATTTTTATTTTAGGAAAGAAGAAAGCTATCATTTCTTGGCTTGATTTACAGTCATGCCTTTTTTCTATAATTGCTGATTTTTATTTGTTTGAGGTTCAGGAAAAAGGAGAATTCAATTTCCCACCTTTTTTTCGTACATCACCTTCCTTGGACCCAACTCTCTCTCTCTCTCTCTCTCTCATCTCGTGAACCTCACAAGCAGGTTAAAAAAGGCATCCCAAAATTTATTTATATGATAGAGTTATTAAAAAAATAAAAATGGGTCAATGATGTAATTTGGACAATAAAAAAGGTAAGGAAGGATTAAACATCCTTTTCTTTTAACTTAAAGGGGGAATGTGGACTTTCCATGGGTGACCGACGGTTTATTTAGGATAACAAATATAGAGAGGGAGGTATACATCTTTTCCCTAAGAAATAGTAGAAAAAGTAAACAAATCTTTGCTAGATGGAATATTATTTGTATTTTAATTTGATAGAATTTGTAATTGGAAATCAAAATTCTTTGACAAATTTACTAACCAGGGAGCATTTGCAAGGCATAAATGGAAAATACAGCCCAATACAGCATGTCATTTCAAAAAACTCGATCAGAACAAGCCCCAAGAATAACTCATAAAAGGAGGCACTCTTATCAGCTTTCACTCAAGAAAATGAAGACTTAAGTAATAGTCTCACGGATGAAAACCTAGCAACGAATATTTGGGTAAAACCACCCCAAAATTATATTGAAAATTACCAATTTAGAGGATAATCAAATGAATATGAATTTTCAAAAATGATCATGAACAAGTTTATATCCCTAGAAGAATAGGGTGAAAAACTACTCTTCTGCAAAGGTTTAATGAAGAACCACCCCAAAATTATAGATCTTATCTAACTATTATGATTATAAAGATGCATGGAATCATATTTATTTATGCAAAATAAATAAAATGTTTAGCCACACATGGTCCCTTATATTTTCGGACTCATATAACCAGGTTGTTCGAAATTGGCTTCTACAGTGGTGGTACACGATTGGAGCAATAACAACTACTATTTCCTCCTAAACTCCAGGATTATGTTCATACAAAACTGACTCCTAATCAAGATGAAGTACTTTACTATATGGTTAAAAAACATATACCTTGGATTCTAAAATGGAATTATCAAATTAATTTTAAGAAAATCCTCCCCTATAAGATAGATAGAGACAACGAACAAAAATTTGGCCACCTTGCCGCCAAGGCAGCCATTTTCTCAAACTACCACAGCGTGGACTAGGCGGTATGCTCTAGGCGGGTGCATCTAGGCACCCGCTAGGCGCCCAAGGTGCTCACCTATGCGGCATAAAAGACGGGTACCTAGGCGCCGCCTTGACCAATCGAGACCGAGGGCAGAAAATGTCCCTAGGCCATTGGGTAAATTTGTTGTTTCCCCCCCTTAAAAGGTGGGAAAGGGCTTTGGGGTTCATTCTTGCCCCCAAAAAGCGTTTTTAATGATGTTTAGAAACCTTGAAAAAAATAAGATTTGAAGGTTTGTAAAGAGATCAAAATTTTTTTCAACCTTCTTGTAGGCTCCCGAAATTAAAGGATACCCACCCCCAATCTTTTTTAGGCTTATAGTGGTTGTAAAAGAGATTTGGAAACCAAAACTTTCCGGTTTGAGCAGATGTTGATTCCATTTCAAGAAGGTTGATATATTTTAATATTTTTGAAATGTATTCGAAGGAGGGAGCTTGACATGGACCCAAGTGCAAGAGGTGGCTGGTTTAGCATCGGGCCCTATGAGAGCTACTAGATCCCAAATGCAGAGAAAGGAAACAGATCTGGCCCAGGAAAAGGGAAAGGGGAAGGGGAAGAAGAAGGTGCAGACGAAGAGGAGGAGGAGGATGCAGACGAAGAGGAGACAACATAATAAGGTTTTTATGTGGAGGACGATGACTTTGTTGATGATGGCTTGGCATCATCATCAGATTCAGGGGCACTGGATGTCAAATGTCGACCTCATGTTGCTAGTGATGATGAAACTCAACCTCATAATTGAGTTCACCATATTTGTGGGGTGAAGAAGACTACTTTTTGTAGTTTATGGCTTTTGATTGTCTGATTGGATTTTTTTTTTTTTTATGACTTATGAGTATCTGTCGTGACTTGTGACTTGAGAGATTTAATGGACATCTCGAGTTCCTTTCATCGTTTAATGTTGCTTTTGAGTTTTGACTATTCCATTTACAGTCTAAAATCATGTATGTTTATGTTTGATTTGTACTTCTGAACAATATATTATATATAAAACTTACTTGTTACATAAAAAAATGTCAATTCTATAAACAATAAAAAGGGGGAGGTGTGGGGGGTCCAACAATCCACAAGGATCTGCCCCTCCCCACTATGCAGGCTGCCTTTGTGTTTGGGCACCCACATCCGCCTTCTTGAACATTGGACTGATAGAATTAAGCTGTCCGATAAGGCCGATGAAAATAATTATATAGATGATGAAGATCTATTCCCAATTGTGCCAACATGAAATCAACTTAGTAAAATTTGAATGGAGGAAGAGATTACTGTGATGATTAACAAGTGAACGAGAATAACAAGGTTAAACCCGCTATGTGTGAAGTGACACCCATGTATGAAAAGGACCAAAGCCGAACATGCTTAAAGCAGCTATGTGCAAAAGGTGCTCAAAAGCAGATCATGATGCACCACCCATATAGGAAAGATCCCTAAAGCAGATCACTATGCACCGCCTATGTATGAAATATCTGCTTTAGGGATTTTGTCCACCTTAAACACTGCCCAAGCAACATTTAAGCAAACTTCTGGTGATCTTTCATCAATCCAAACAAATTAGACAAAACAAAGATCTTTCATCAATCCAAACAAATTAGACAAAACAAACATAAATCCTTGTGTATGACAAAATTACCAAAGACAATTAATTCCAATTTCAACAAGGAAAAAGTTCATGAATTCCAATTCCAATACCAAAGATAACTAGTACAGAGCTTTAAGACCATCAGTATCAAACAAGAGCTCCAGGAAAAGGTTCAACAATGTTGTCACCTTCTTTGACTCCCACTTCTAGCTTTGAATGGAGAACCAACAAAGATAGCATTAGGGTCCTGGAAGTGGGAGTCAAAGAAATTCACAACTAATTTATGAATTTGCTAAAATGCAGCTCCTCTATAAGCAGATGACATATTAACTGATCAACCGCGCGACTAATATGCAGTCTTACATGCTAAGAAGAAACCCAAACATCTATGGAGGCAATATGGTTCACAAAACTGCAGATAACTTTTTCAACTTAGGGAGATTTCAGTGGAAATTCTCAATTATGCATGAAATACCGATCGCACTTCATCCATTGAATTGCAGGTTGTTATTTTAGTATAAATCATTGCGCTTCAGTTGTTGAAATGCGTAACTTTCACAACAATTTCCTGTTCATTCTCTATCTTGTAGAATTAGTGGATCTTTGGTTTTGTTTGATCACAACTTCTTTATTTGAGGTCAAAGAAATGGTAGTTAACCATCCAAGGCAGTGAGAAAGGGTTTCACCTTAGAAATATATTTTATAAGTTATCATTTTTGCAAGTTTATTTAAACACAAATATATCCACTAAAGGAACCGATAAAAGAAAAAAAGAAAAGAAAAGAAGCAATAGGCATCTGACTGACATATCAGAGCAGCATATCACGTCAAAACCACCCAGTTTAGTCATAACATGTCAAACTAGCAGAAAACACAAGCTCAAGGCCACGAACGTGCACTGTTTAGTTATTCATTTACTTATTTATTTATATGGTTGATTGGTAGGATACTACCATTGATATGGATGCCTACCGCCAAAACTAGCCAAAGTGATAAAAAATTAAATCAGTCTTTGCCAAAATACAATCAGTCCAGTACAATGTATACAATCTTGCAGCAAGTTACAGGTAGAACTTAATTCCTAATTCAAACATAAATATATTGGATGTATTTAATGGGGCAATTTCAAGACAATCACCAAATTCATCATGCAGGTGAGGTAAACACGCTAGTTAGCCATTCGTGAAAGTCAAAAACATCTCAGAAGCACAATCTTCGATACTAAAAGATAAAATATGGCGAGAGAAAATAATATAATGGCAATCTAAAAACTTCACAATCACCTAATGAAGCAGAATTCACAGGACATAAAATCACCGAACTTATCATGAAAGTGAAGGAAACTTCACGAAATGCAACTTCTTAAAAGATTCAGAAGCACAAAGATAGCGATCAAGAGAATGAGAGAGAGAGAGAGAGAGAGTAGAAGCAAGACCTGTACAATCATCGACTTCCGACAACCTTTGGCCCGGCAAGACTGAACTTTCTGAAACTGCGTGATATCGAGCTTCTTCGTGATCAAGCCAACCTCGAAGTAGATGTAATCAGAAGGGGGCAGATCGACCTTGATCCCATCAACGTCGAACCAGAAGAAGAGACTCTTGACTTCGATGCCGTCCAAGTTAGAGATGCTCCCATATCCGAGAGTGCCCGTGATTTTCTTGTCGTAATAGACGAGATAATCGAATTGAAGGTAGCAGGGCTTCTCCAATTCGACAACAAAAGATCCATCATTAGAGAGCGAAAAACCCTTGACGCTGCTAGGAAGAAGCCCTATGGGCAAGCCGAATTGCGAGAGAATGTCATATACAGTGGTACCATTAGAATCGGCTCCTGAAAGAGCCGAGGTTGAAGCCACGCACAAGGAAAAAAGCAGAACAAGTTTCAAGAGTGCAGTCATTTGTGGACAAGAAGAAGATCGCTTCCTCTGAAACTGCTGGAAAAATTGTTTGAAGGGAACGACAACCTCACCGAGAGAGTTGTGAAGGAAAAATAATAATAAAAAAATGAAAATAGTTACCGCAGAAGGCTTCTGAGTTGATCTTGGATAACGGCAGATCTAATTGGGGGACACAAACCAGGACTCTTAAGTAGTCAGGCGTGGCAATTGGGTTCTACACGTGGATCAGACGGGTCGACCGGACTGGATCCGGGTCCTAGTCTGGGCCCAGATAATACACAAGACAGGCTGGGTCTAGGTCCAGGTTGACTTTGATCCAACTAAGTTTGAGTCTGGGTCCAGGTCCTATTGTGTTGGACTGGTCTAGCTTGAGGCCAACTAACTCGACCTGAATCTATTGGTATAAACTACAAAAAAAAATAAAAAATAAAACAAATAAAAAATAAAAAAAAAGAAAGGGAAAAAGTTTATATATAGTTGTAACATTAAAATATAGAATTAAAGATACACATGATGACTGGACTGGCTTGACTTTGACTTGACTAGCTTTGAGTCTGGGTCCATGTCCTACTGTGTTGGTCTGGTCCAGCTTGAGGCCAACTGACCCGACTTGAATATACTGGTATAAACTACTTACAACAAAGAAAAAGGTTTATATAAGGTCGCAAGAATTAAAGAGAAACATGATAGGCTGGGTCTAGGTCTAGCTTGACTTTGAGTCTAGTAGGTTTGAGTCTGGGTCCAAGTCGTACTTTATTGGGATGGTCGAGCTTGAGGCCAACTTACCCGACCTGAATATACTCGCATAAACTATATTTGAAAAAAAAAAAAAGTTTACCTAAGGTTGCAACCTTAAAATGTACTATTAAACATGGAGCTCAAAAATCCATAGGAAAAGGTTGTTTTAATATTAAAAACCCTCTAATTGATCATCTTGACATCGAGATATATGAATATAAAAAAAAGAAAAAAAAAAGATTTTGAACCCCTGAAATAATGCATCTTGCAACACATTATCAAGATCGTCCATTTTCAAGATTTTCCTTTGTTTATAGATCTACTTGATTTTAACTATTTTTAGAGTTTTAAAATTTGTAATTAGATATGAAAAAAGATTTTCAAAAAATCCTAGTAATTTTTTACATCAAAACTACATGTTATGATAAAATCTACAAAAAATACTAACTATATTGTAGAAACATATAAAATGATTTTTTATATAATTTTAATACATTTTTTATTTATAGACTCGGATTCAGACCGAACCAGACTTGACCAATTAACATCTAGGATTTTTTGCAATGCCACAAATTCTTATTACGAACATTTTGACATAAAGGATTGTCTTTACTATTAAACGAGTTTTAAAATCGTTTAAACTACCAAATTCTGATTTTTAATGATTTGAATTTACATTCATGGCTAATATTATGTTTTATTGATTTTGAAATTGTCGTGTCTTAAATTACATTTAGCTTTTAAGAAATTTTCAGATTTTGCAAAAGATGCACGTGTTGAGCAACCACTCTCTTTCATTGTTTTTTGTTACAATTCTTGAATTTTTTAAGCATCATGTTATATTTCTCATGATTATATTCTTCGAGCGTGTATACTATGCTCTCACGAGACATATTATGCTTCTACTCCTTTGCTCAAAACACCTATTTAGGAGAACATTTTTAGTCTAAAATTTTGGGAACCTCATAAGAAAAGAACAAATTTGAAATTTGAGTTTGTCACACTTAGTTACCCTTCAAAAATTTGATGGTCTCTATTCAATATTGAGACATTAGTTTATTCTAGTACATACAGCGTTTATTTCAACAAATTTTTTTTTTATTGATGATTACATCCTTAAAATTTGGGATCTAAAAAACGTATCATATATTTTGACTTAAGGAGACAATGGATAGTATACTATTGGAGCATTAAATCGTTTAGCATATTTTTTAAAAATAATATACTGACTCACATTTCTTGGGGTAAATATACTCATATGAACATTATATCATAATAACAGTGCTAATAATCTGGTTGTGTCCAAGCTTGACCATTTTTTAGTGACTCATAATTGGATGAAAGTTTTTCCTCTGGCAACAGTCAAAGCGTTGTCGAGACTTTAATCTGATCACATTCGGTTATTACTTAATACTAGCTTAAGTAATAATGAGAGAAAGCCTTTTAGATTAGAGTTGGCCTAGTTGGATGAAACGGGGGTTGCCGATTTGATCAAATCCACTTGGGAGAATTCTATTAGCTTTGGTCAATGGATTTCCAGCTTTATAACAAGCTTTTCAATGTTAAAAATAAACTGTAAAGTTGGAGATCTGAGAACGGCTACTCAATCAAAACTAAAATTGACAGTATTCTTGATGAGTTACAGAGATGGGATCAGGACATTCAACAAACAAGCCTTATCTTTGAGGCTGCTGTTGAGTTGAGAAACAATTTGTTGTCGTCTTTGGATGCCCTTAATAGAGCTGAGGAGATATGTTGACATGTATGGCTATGAGGCCTTACGTGTCTTAGCCTACATTTGTGGGAAATTCAATATATTCAACGGTCTTATGGTACAACGTCCATATGATCGTAACCCCTCATCCAACGGTCATATCCATATGAACGTAACCCTTCAGAAACGCGTTGGAGATCAGGGAATCATTTTGTTTCTCAGAGATCCGTTAGAGAAATACAACGTTAGTCCTTCTTTCCCTATAAAATAGGAAGCCAGAGAGATGATGTGTATAGCAAGAAAAATACGTACATCTCTCTAAAAGGCGAGGGGATAAAATTCGGGTTATGCGATCATCAGCCTCACAACACCACTTCTCTGATCTCGGGTTTGATCTTATCCACACTTCATTAAATTTTGCAAACATTAGTATCAGAGCCATCAGGTTCCATCTTCCATATTGCTTTATCTTATATTGCTCACGCTTATCTTCTACTGGATCCATATATATTCAAGTATATCTTTAATGGTGAGGTATACATGAAGTATATGTTTTATCTCATTCACATGTTTTCAAAACAATAAACCTCTATTGGTATTATTGCAGTGAATTTCAGTGAATACCACTGATGTCACTGAATATCACATATTGTTTAAAGGATTGTATGGTTACGTGCATTTTGATAAGCATGAATTATTTAAAGGATTAGCATGTATATCTTTGTCTAAGAGATTGCTTGGAATTACAAAGTGATATGGAAGGATAGATATTTTAGATTTCATGTGGTAGAATTTTGTGTCACAGAGATATAATCGCCTCTGTGAATAAAATTATCAGTGAAGCTGAAATTTTTTTTTTCACTAAATATCAGTAGCTACAAATTTTTTTGCTATTTTGTTGCCTTATATATTGATGATAATCCTATTATAATAATAATAATAATAATAATAATAATAAAGGGGAATATATGTAGGCTTGTACTCATGTGTGAGGAAAATTAGGGCATTGTTCAAAATTTCCGTATATGCATATTTTTCACAAGGTATGTGAAAATATGCATTAAATTTTCATTGTTTAAATGAATATATTCATATTCATATCGTCAATGCATAGTTATTGTTTAAATGAAAATATTCTTACTTGAATACCAATATTTCCGTATATGCATATTTCCGAATGAATATTTCCGTAAAGAATAAGGGCGTGGCTTGTGGATTGTGATAGTTGGAAGACTTAACCGTCGCATGACGTAGCTAATAGTTGTAACCGATAGCATGAACAACCACTTCCACAGGAGGACGCGTCGTTTTCTAGAGAGAGAGTGTGGTATGAAAGGGGTTAGTCTTTCTTCGCTCTGGTAAGAAAACGGAAGAAGACAACGGACTTGATTTCTTGAGAGAGAAGGGGAGATGGCATGAAAGACGTCCCTATCATATAAAATGGGACTGTTGGCCTTGGTTTTGTTGTTCGGCATGTCACATTTTGCACAGGTCTTGGTTTTGAGACTCGCCATGGTTTTGGTTTGTAATGATAAATGAGAGAGGGACTTGCCATGGTTTTGGTTTGTAATGATAGAGGAGAGATGCTGAAGTTCCAGGGTAGATCTGCAGGTCGAAAGGCTGTGATTATTCAAGCCTTTGATGAAGGGACCAGAAACAGAACCTATGGCCATTGCTTAGTTGCGGGTATCACCAAATACCCTAAAAAGGTTATTCCCCCCTCTAGAGTGAACTTTTAGTATATTTTTTGTTTCGGATAAGGCTAGCATTGTTTTTTATCTTGTACGTGTGTTCGTTATCTCCTTGTACACAATATCTAATATCATTGAGTATGATTGTGAAGCTTACACAGTAGTGCTTTATTTTATTTTTTTAAATCAAAATAGATGAGCATAATAGGAAATGGGCTCTCTTAATAATTGTTTTATTTGGGTGTTCTGTGGCTTGATTTTTTAAAATGTTTTCAGAACAACAATCTAACTTTCAATAAGAAAATAGAAGGTTGAGAATGGTGCATCAATCCACAGATTAAACTTTATGGATTTTTCTGGGCAATGACACTGTGGAAGGTCACTGAAGTCTTTAATCTTCTGATTGAACACATTTGAGAGGAATTTGGTTGGTTTGTTTGTTTATTTATCTTTTATTTTGATAAGTGGCATTTTGTGAATTCAAATTATGGGAGAAACAATTGCAGAGTTTCTAGTATCTTCAATTGATGATGGATTGTAATTTTTTTTTTTTGTTATTTGATGATAAACAACACAAGGTTTTTACCATTCAAATAAATGAAGACAATAGAGTTTGATAAGTGCCATGGCTAATATCTTAAGAAATCCTTGGAGGGGAGTTGGAGAGGAGGTTAGTTATGACAAAATACCTTAGGAATGTCTTTGAGAATGGGAGCAGGTATAGGAATCTCTGGTTGGTGTAGGTTAATGGTTTTCCATGTGGATTTGGCTAGCGATCATCATGTGAGTGAATTTTAGGAGCAAGAATTTACACCCAAATGTAAGGTTCATGTGACTAAGGCGAAGAGTTATGAGTGGAGCTTGCATTCTTATTAAGTTCTCCTATGTGAATAGGGATGATTGGTGAAGAGTATAAGCGGAACTCCAACGCTTGCTCATGGGGAATCACAAATTTTGATTCAATCACAAACTTGGATTCCTTGTATTCCATCACCTTTTTTGGGCATCCTAGATTTGAATGCCTGT